CGGTATTCCAAAAAGAGAACTCGGAGTCAAAAGTCTTGAAAAGGTAGCTTATCCCAAAAAGCCATGCCAAAATCCAATTCCTTAAGGATGAAACATCCTAAATTGACGAAGTTAAACTTGAAAAAAAAATTCAAGTAAAAACATGTCGAAAGAAATCGGCCTTAAGCTGACGACTAAAACCCAAAGCGGACAACTGATCCAAAATCAGAGTTGCTTGTCGCAAAAGATTTCCTAGCTCACATCCAAAAAATCTCTTCAAGGAGCGAGCTATGCATAACTTAGAGTGAATTCAGATCTTCTATTACAAGTCCAACTAGGATGAATGAAATGACTCCATAGAAATATAATAATCGTTACTTGATAAGGGCATACTAAGAAATTTCTTTTCCATTAATAAAATTATATTACATTCTTAAAAAAAAAAAAAAAAAAAAAAAAAAAAAAAAAAAAAAAAAAAAAGAGAGAGACAGAGAGAGAAGAAAAACAACAGCAAAAGACAAAAAATGTATGATGCTTCAGACAGCTAGGGGAGCAGGGGGATCATCCTCAACCGGTCTGGGGAGCTCAGTACCAACGAAAAGAGATGGTTCTTCAATAGGAGGGATGACAGCAGTTTCTCCAAGGTTAGGAGCCTTGATCAAGGGCAGTGTAGATAGGGGAGTCAGATCCTCAACTTCTAGCTTGAGCCTAATCTCTTCCTTACACTTCTCGACCTTTTCTTGGCCCTTACCATCATCGTAAGAGTCATCCAAGTACATGTAGGCCATTCCTTGGGCTTCAATCTTCATCCTCTCGACTTCCTTTTGGTAAGCTCGCGGAAGAAAAGAGAAGTCGATCGAGGGGTGGGCTTCCCATAGCTTTTGCATGAGGAAGACCGACGTCTGCCAAGCCCAAGTTGTGATGACCTAGTTTAGCTCCTCAATTTGAAGCCTGAGTTGCCTGACCTCAACTTTGGCTTTCCATTGACCTTCCCCCTCCTAGGCAAGGTTGAGCGAAGATTGCTTAGATTTGGCCTCGCAATCCGAGGCGGCCTTTTGAACCAAGGAAAGCTCGAAGTTTAACTTGTTATTGGCACCTCGTTGTTTTGCCAAATTCTTCTCGACTGCCACTGCCTTAGCTTCAGCCTTCAATCAAGCAGCCTCGCTCACATTGAGATTGTCAAAGACCTCTCTTCCCTTGACCCCTAAGGTCACCATTTCCCCCCTAAGCCATTCGAGCTCAGCCTACTTGGCTGCCTTATCTTTCTCTACAATCTTGACTCTAGCCAAAGCATCCTCTTTTATCGTCTTTACCAATTGCCATCCCTTGTGAGTGCCCTCCAAAGTGGCATAGCACTCATCATAAAGAAGCCTACTCACCATGGCAACCTAAAAAAAGAAAAAAAAAAAAAAAAAAAAAAAAGGGAGAAAAAGGGGGACAAGATGAAAAGTTAACAAGAAGCGAAGATAGCATGCAATGATAAAAGAAAAGAGGAGCGAATTATCGATACCTTCGCCACATAACTACACACGAAGGCCAGCATATCGGTTGGAGCAGCATCTCTAACGGCCACGAAGGTTTACGGAGTGATTCTATCCCCAACTGCTACAGCCCCAACACTAACATAGTCAGGGAGTTGATTGATCGGAGCGTCGAGCATAGCTTGGGCCACTTCATCCATTTTCTTGCTCTTCAACCAGGACAAGCTAGATTTACTCCACCCTACAGTTCCAACCTTGCCCACAGGAGTGGACTTCTTCTAGGCCAAGTCCTCGGCCACTGTTTTCTTTAGGTCGTCGGCCTGCACGATGACCTTTTTGCCCAAGCGACCTTGCTGCTTGGCCACCTTTTATTTGCCCGAGCCCCCTCGAGGCTCAATTGCTTTCTTCTTACCTGAGCTATCATGCTACTCGAGTGCCTTCAGTTTTCACGAGCTTCCAATCAGCTCGGGAGTTTTCTTCGTCGGTCCCTTTAGGAGCTCAGGGACACTCTTTTCGCCTGCTACCTTTGGAGTAGTTAGAGGCCTTTTCGCGCTTGGGCCCTCCCCAAGCTTGCCACCAGCACATTTCACGCCGACGACATTAACGGGCTACTTCGTTGCTAAAGCAGCTAGTGTCTTCTTGGCAGCCGTTGGAGCTGTTGTTTTCTTCTTAAGGCCTTTGGGTTTCTCAGTCCATATATCTACAAGAAAGTAACAAATAGTAAGCAACTTATCCACGTGGGAAAAAGTGCAAGCAAATGATAACTTAACCTTTTTCAAAGATCGTAGAAAATCTTGCGTCATCCCTACAAAAGCCATATGCTCGCAGATGGGATAGCGTAATGATCTCGTTAACGTTACGTTATCCGTCGGGAAGGTCACTGAAACATTGGAGCCTCTACAAGCTCACGACAGGGAGATAGTTCTGTTCAACGTTAACTGCAAAACAAAGCAACTCAGTTAGCTAGAACACAAAGCTCAAAAGTGATCCTTGCATGCATGGTAAGTCAAAATCTTACTTGCTTCCGAGGCAAAGGCGCAGATCTCTCGGGCTTCATAGAAGAAAAATTGTGAGTCCCAGTGTAGGACCTTCTTCAGGACATCAACCAGCCCATTGAAACGTACCTTCCTCGCCTTGGAAAAGTAGTACGTCTGGTCTTGCCCTTTTTAGAGCCTATACAGATGGACGAGCTCCTCAAAGGATGGCTTGTTCAACTCATCAATCATGTATACTATGTATAGAGCAATAATAATTATGTAGGAATTTGTGAAAAGCTGGAGGGGAACGATGTCGAACCACATTAGCACGTTGTCAATAAAACAATGAGAGGGAATGGATACCCCGCATCTCAAGAGGGTCTTAGAGGTCGCCACCCATCCAAGCAGAGGATTCTTTCAAGAAATGTCCCCGGGGCCATCAAATTAAGCTATGGCACATAGACCACTCTTATGCATTCTAGATCCTTGACGGTAATCAAGGATTGTGGGTCTCTTCGCAGCCTATGGACTGGAGACCGCTTAGGTTAAGCCAATTGTCTCGAGGCACGGTCGAAAGAGCCTGTCGCAGTAGGGTCTGAGCTTCGTGTAACGATTTCCTCGAAAACCTCGAGAGTTGAATCCCCAAGGATTGCAAAGCCAACGGGCGAATCAAACATGTGGTCGATTGTGTGACTGCTGGAAGAAGACATGGTTATAGCTCGCTTCTGGGTACTTGAAACAAAAGCAAACATATGTTAGAGCTGAAAAAATTTGGCGACCATTTCACACTTGCTTTCAGTTCAAGCACCTAAGATAGCTCGTACCACACAACAAACGCACGCGACCTACCCTAGGCTCCGACAGCCATCGCGTTAAACCCTTCTTAAACCTAGGACCGCCAAATATGTATTTGAAAACCCTACTAAAGCCCTAGAACATCCAATGTGGCCATAATAATAGCCACCCTTTAACGCAAAAATTGGGAAAATGAGTAAAGAAAGGGAAAAGAACCTTACCAGAATGAAAGAAGTGCAGAAACTCGTCGGAAAAAGCACTGTGACAATGGAAAAATAGTAGCAAAGTGGACAAAGATGTCAAAGAACTTTCATGCATTAAATGAGCATTCTGACAGCTTCGCCACCTTTTATAGTGGTTTGCATGGAAGACGAAGGGTGGGGTTTAATCATAGCCGTCGATCTGTAGTGAATCTCGACCCTTCATTCATCGAGCAATCTTAGCCATTAAACGTGGCCATGTGTCATCCATCAGCGAAGGGCAATGAACCGTCGGACTGTTACATTGACAACCATCGCCGCAAGTCGCCTCGACTTCGCTAGTGGGCTGCTATAGTCGCCCACGCGTGACTGACAAAGGTTACCGCATTTAATGCGACATGACCACTTGGAAATTACGTATTTGCCCTAACTTTTCATATTCTGAGTTTGGCAGGTACCGCAGGAAGTAAACAAGTGTGAAGCACGTCGACGCCAAGAGCTCTACCAAACCTGCATCCGGAGACCTGTTGTTAATGTTGAGCTTGGTATCAAATTGAGCAACAGTCTTTGAAGCTCAAAACGAGCATCGAACACTAAGGGGCAGATGTTGTGTGTGATTTTTCCACCAAGCTCAGGCTACCGCAAGGATGTAGCTCAACCCAGGATCAGTCCGACTCCACCGATTGTCTGACTCAGCATAAGCTCGTCAACATATAGCTAAACCAATCATAAGGTAGTCGTAAACAACCCAAATGATCATTCAATCAATTCTCAGATAGCTTTAGATCCCAAATATTGCAGAAATGACTAAATCAACATCAATCTCTATGCAATCACAACGCCCAATCGCGAGAATATCAGAATTACAATTCAGATCAATTGTAATCCCTTTATTTTTCACTCTTTCCTTTGTACAAACCTTGTATATAAACCCCCTCAAATGATGAAAAAGGGGTTACGACTTTCACACAGAATTCTCATTGTAAACTCTCACAACGAATACAAAAAAACAATGGACGTAGGCTCAAGAGTTTACCTCGCCGAACCACTTTGAAAATTCTCATTGTTATTTATTTTATTGCACTCAATATTTGTCTATTGTTGATTACCCGTAATCACACGCACATCCATTCTGATCCCATTAAGGTCGATCGAAATTCTCTAGTTGGTGCAGATCTTTGTATCAACAAATTCTTATTTGATTCAAAATTAATATTTATAAAAATTAAACTCTTTTTTTTTAAAACTCATGTCTTAATAAAAAACAACAAATGGAGTGCCACCTTAGATTTTTCTTAATTTTCATACATGATTTTAAGAAAAATTATAGTTTTTTTTTTAAAATAAAATTTAAAAATTGATCATATCTATGTAAATGATATTTCCCGTAAGTGAAATTAATGAAAAATGAAAATGGTGGGCCAAACCTTAGTGATATTATGAGTTGTGAAAGGGGAGGATGGTCAAGGCAAGAGGCAAGGAAATGGTCCACATGGTTTGAAGCAAATACAAAGATGTGGATGGACTTCTACTTCTCATTGGTCCGTAATCTATCCACGACTCTTCCTCAGATTTCCTCTCCAGATTTCATTATCCTACCTGGCTCTCTAGAAATCCTCCCTTAGATCCTCACTAAGCCCAGCAACCTCTCTTAACATATTCTACACATTCATTTTCAACTCATTGTAGAGAAGAACACACATGGCTGCAACATCTGCCGCTGTCCTCAATGGGTTGGGTTCTTCATTTCTAAATGGAGGGAAGAAGAGCGCCAAAGGCCTATTGGGTGCTACTAGAGTGGGAAGTAGTGGAGCTGTTGGTTCTCGGAAGTCGGTTGTTGTAGCCGCTCTTCCGCCGAAGAAATCTTGGATTCCTGCCGTTAAAGGTGGCGGCAACTTCCTTGACCCCGAGTGGCTCGATGGCTCGTAAGTTTCTCTGTTAATTGTATTATTTACTCACTTTTTTTCCTTTCTTTCCCTATGTGTATATTGGAGCAAGAGATGGGTGCGACCATACCACCACCAGTACTAAGATTTGTGACCCTTAAATATTATATTCAATGCAGGCTCCCGGGCGACTATGGATTCGACCCACTAGGCCTGGGCAAGGATCCAGCGTTCCTTAAATGGTACAGAGAAGCAGAACTGATTCACGGGCGGTGGGCGATGGCAGCAGTCGTTGGTATCTTCGTGGGACAAGCATGGAGTGGGATCCCCTGGTTCGAGGCTGGGGCTGACCCGGGTGCAATAGCGCCATTCTCCTTCGGTTCGCTTCTCGGAACACAGCTTCTCCTGATGGGTTGGGTTGAGAGCAAGAGGTGGGTGGACTTTTTCAATCCAGAATCTCAGGCAGTAGAATGGGCGACTCCATGGTCAAGAACCGCTGAGAACTTTGCAAATGCGACAGGCGAACAGGGGTACCCGGGGGGAAAATTCTTTGATCCATTAGGTCTTGCAGGGACAATTAAGGATGGTGTGTACATTCCTGATACTGAGAAGCTAGACAGACTCAAGGTTGCTGAGATTAAGCATGCTAGAATTGCTATGTTGGCCATGTTGATTTTCTATTTTGAGGCTGGTCAAGGGAAGACACCACTTGGTGCCCTTGGTTTGTAAAACTATTACTTTATTTGATGTAGATAACTGGAAAGAAACAATGAACTCCGCCAATTTTAAATCTAATGTAATCAATCAATCTTTCTTTATGGACCATATTAGAAGTTCTCAAATTCTTTCTAGTTCTGTCTAACAGGAACGGGGTGAGTAGGGGCATGCCTTGGATAAATTTCAATTTGTACCTTGCTATTATATGTTGTTAAAGTAGCCTAAATCCAGCATTATCATCACTTTTATTTTATTTTGTCTACCTCAAATCTGAAAAATATTTTAATTATGTATCTTTTAATGTATTAAAAAGTCATTTTTTCATGAATAAATTTTTTATATTTAAATATTTTTTCTTTGCCCTCACTAAAAAAAAATGTTGCTTCGTCTTGCTGTAAAAGTAATTAGATAATTTAATTCTAATACTTGTTAATTGTTTTATTTAGGGAAAAAAAAAACGATAGAAGATAGAGAACAAGAGAGATTCTTATGGAAAATTTAATGAAGTTTGAAAGTACCAAAGGGATTTTATAAATTTTAGAAGATATTATGTAAATTTTCAACTCTATAGGGTTTCCTCGATGATCACCCAACTCCTTTTAAAGTTTCAAAATAAACAACGAAAATCCTTTTAAATCGATTTTTACTTGGGATACTTTGTATCTCTATCTTTAGATAAAAGCAAAGAGTAAAAAAATGCGTAGTCAGGTCAAGTTTAGGCAAACCAAAGTCCACCAAATAGGAGAATAAGATTCATGATGATGTTCATTGTTTTTGATTGTTGAGAAAATTGAAGGAAAAAGAAACCTTTATAGAATCTAGATATACATTAAAAGAATATATTCTGATCGGTCCCCATTTATTGTATCCTAAGTGAGTTTTTTTATTGGATCTCTCTTCTAATTGTGTCATATGGTAACCTAAATCCGAGGTGGAAAATNTGTAGACAAATTGGTCCAAATACCCTTGTTATATAAAAAAAAAAAAAAAAACCAAACCACCTCCAAAATCCAAACCATCGAACAAACAAATAATGTGGTCCCTTAAATATACATGCTTCCTATATACAATCCTTTAAAATAAAACAAAAAAAAATCACAAACCAAAAAACCGCTGCCACAGAAGAAGAATGGCCACACATCTGGAGGCGTGGCAATACCGCTGTGATATGGCTTTGGGGCAAGGCCACGCCGAAAAGATCAGGGCAAGACCGGCGACGACAGGCTAAGTTGGGTTGTTCCGGGCTGGGGCGAGTTATGGCGGTAAGGGTGAGGGTTTGGAGCGATGGTTGATGAGTGTCTTCTTTTATAATTTTGTTAATTTTATTTTACATTTTTAGGATCTTTATTTATCTAAAGACGATAGTGCCCTTACATTGTCTAACACACCCTAACGGCAGTCATCTGACAGGGCTGCAGTGACTCTTTCAAATTTCACTGGACCACATTGTTTTCACCAATAGTCCAACGTCAGGGATAGGGTGGAAAAAATGGGCCGGGTTAGATAGATCAACCCTAACCCGACCCACCTCAACCCGAGATTAACCTGGCCCAGCTTAAGGGCAGCCAGGTTGAACCCGGCTCGGGTATCCCCCGTCAGGCGGGGTAGGCCTTCGTAGGCCAACCTAGCGACCCGGCTAGTCATTTTTATTTATGTTTTTTAAATAACCCTTCCAACCCGTCAGGTTGACCCGCGGGTCGGGCAAAAAAATAAAAAATTAATTTATTTTTTTTTGCAAAAACTCTTTTTACTCTTCAAATATAATCATTTTATAGTAGTTGGAGAGGTCTTTTTTGTCATTTTCTTTTCCCATTATTCTCTATAAATTAGACATAAACTTCTCATATTTCCTCACATATCAAATTCTCTCATTCTCTCATTTTCTCTATAAAAATCTCTCAAATCTCATTGTTGTCAATTTATTCTCATTTTGCTCTCATTTTAATTTTTATCAGTTTTTACAATTTTCAATTCATATTTTCAAATTTCAATTCTCCTTCTTTAATTCTTTTATATCAAATTTTTTTTTTTTTTAACTAGAATTGATAGATATTTCCATCCCACCATCAATTTTGAAAATGAAGAAAATTATCCTAGTCCCTCTGAATTTACTAACATAAATACAGTAGATTCAAACAGTCACGTTTTCCCATTCTTAGAATCTGATACACCTCATAATATTTCCCCTTCCTCCCCATGCTGCTACAACTCTCGGTAGTTCTAGAGGTCATTCTCGTAATCGTCGTCCTTGTCCAACTCCATCTAAAGTAGAAGCGGGTTCATCAACTGCAATCGGAACCGACGACAGGCACACATCAGACGTTTGGGTGCATTTCGAAAAGTTTTACTAGACAAAAAATGGCATTCAAGTGAAGAAAGCAAGATGCAAGTATTGTGAAAATATTTATAAAGCTAATACAGGTAATGATACTAGTACTTTAAAAAGTGTTTCTAGTAAACACATAAATCATCATGGAAATAGAGAAACCAATCAAACTCAAATAACTAATATGAGTAATACTTGGCGTTATAATTTTGATGTATATAGGGAACAATTAGTTTTATATATTGTTGCAATTGATCAACCTATTAATATGGATGAAGATAAATATTTTCAAAGATTTATTAAAAAATCATTTTTTTCCAGAATTTAAAACTTATTTTAAAACTTCAACTAGAAATGATTTAATAAAATTATTTGGGAAAATGAAATTAGAATTAAAAAATAAAATACATAGTTGTCATGTTAGTGTGACTTTAACCGCCAATATTTGAAGTGGTAGAACTAAACAAGATTATATTTGTGTAATTAGTCATTATTTTGATAACGAATGTAAATTTAATAAATCTTTATTCGGATTTAAATTAATGGATGTGGATCATAGTGGTCAACAAATTTATAATAAAATTGTTAAAGTTTTAGAAGATTATGATATTGTTCACAAAGTGATAAGTTTAACTTTAGATAATACATGTGCTAATAGTAGAGCTATAAATTTTTTTTAAATAAATTTTCCTTTTTATGACAATTTGAAGTTTTTTCACTAACATTGTGCATGTCATATTATTAATTTAATTGTAAAAAGTGGTATGAAAAGAATTAGAAATAGTATTGATAGAATTAGAGATTATTTAGCTTAGATTACTAGTAATAATAGAAGTAATGCTGAATTTCTAGATGCCCATAAAAAGTCAAATTTGTCTCCTAGAACTTTTGCATTAACATGCCTGTTAGGTGGAATAGTACTTATTTAATGTTTAATTCATGTTTACCTTATGCAAATTTAATTAGTTATTTTATAGCAAATCATAGAGGTCCTCATTATTTGGTAGAGAGTGATTGACATATAGGCATATAGCTCAAAAATTTTATTCTTTTTTTAAAATCTTTTATTTTGCCACTTTAAAACTTTCTGGTGTGTATTATCCTACTAGTTCATTGGTAATACATATAATTATAAAAATTTCAAATTTATTTGCTTGAAACAGAAACAATGAAATTTTAGTGGGATCAATAGAGGCAATAGAATTAAAATTTAAAAAAACAATTGGAAACATGTTCCTTTTCTTTTTTGTTTAGCTGTCATATTTGATCCTAAGATTAAATTAGTGGGTTTAGAAAATGGTTTAGACACATTAAGTGAAATTGACAAGAATAAGCGTATGCCAATCAACTAGGAGAGATAAGACAGTGTCTTGAAGAGGTATATTTGCAATATGAAAGCAGGTATGAGAACCAACAAAGAGACGCAATACCCGAGGAAGTAGCATCAGAAGACACAAATGAAGACTTCGACTCTTGGAGTGCACTTAATAGGCGGAAGAAAACTCGAACCTAAAACACAACCTCCTCTACAGAAGCATCAACAACGAATATAATGTCCTCCATGTAACTGCAAAGTAATGAGTTTCACCAATATTTGGGAACCCTTGACTTGCTATTAGAAAATCCACAACAAAGAGCCAACTTTGATGTCCTAGAATATTGAAAACCAGAAAATGTATTTTTCCGATACTATCAAGACTTGCCCTAGATGTTTTCTTTGTTCCTGTCTCAACCATCTCATCCGAACAAACATTTAGTGCAAGTGGAAGAATTTTAAATGAAATGAGGACTAAACTTTCACCAAAATTGATTGAAGTCCTAACATGTCTTCGAGATTGGGAACGGTCGTACCATCAGGATCAATATGAGGTTGTCAACAATACTTTAATAGAATCATTTCAATTTTGTGATGTAGATGATACAATGAGGGAGGTCCTAGTCAATTCTTAAATTAGTTGTTTTATAAATTATAACTTTATAATTTGTAAATTAACTGTCAATTATTGCACTCTTTTTTCCTTACAAAATTTTTGTCCCAATTAAGTTTTTCTTGGTAAGATTTTTAACGAGACAATAATTGTTGTAATTTCTTATTTCTTATTTTATTTTTTGATAAATGAATAAATCTAATTTTTCTTATATTACAATTTAATTGTATTAAATTGAATTAATATTTGAAATGTTAACTAAAAAAAAATAATTTAATTGAATTGACATTTGTTAACTAAAAAAAATTACACAAAATAAAAAAATAAAAAATTTCGAGCCAACATGCACAAAAACCCACCAAGTTAGGGTTGGTTGGCCGGGCTAGGTTGACCCTTTTAGACAAAGAGACAAGCCGAGTTTGTTGGTGGGCCAGGTTAGGCCCGGCCCGTAATTTGGCCTAACCCACCATGGGTTGTGTCAGGCAGATCATTTTTCCATCTCTAGTCAGGGACGAAAGTATATTAACATTGTTCCTAGTTTGGGCTTTGTCTACTTTGAAAAGTAATCATATAAATCAGCAAATTTTGTTTTTAGTGTATATGTTTTTCTATGGACTGAAATTATAGCAATAGAATTTTTAAAGCCATAAATGGTTTTCGTATTTGATAGTTTTTGGAGAATGCTTGAATGTGAAAACTCGTGCATCACATGGATATACAAAGATCCATACTTGACTTTCAAGTATTCAAGTTTACCAATAATATACAAAGATTTACTTTACATTTTGAATTTTACAGAAAAGACTATTTATCTCAGAGAGGTCTAGTGAAACTTATGAAAAAATACCAATGGTTGCTATTGTATTTGTCAAAAGCAAAATAGAGTGTGTTATACAAAATTAATAAGTCAGTTGAATATTCGGCAATCAGTAAATCGTTAATTTGAAATATAATTTTGAAATATTTGATTTATTAGATCTTGAAGTGAAATTTATTTCATTTAGATTATATACTGTGTCCCAATGTATAATATTTCCATTTTGTTTGTTGCTTGTTACAAGACATTGGTTTGAAAATATTTTAGCAATTTATTGTTATATTGCTAATAACTTTGAATATTCAATATATTGTTATTCTAAAGAGATAGTTTAATGAAGGAAAATTAGTTTTGGAATGAGATTTATCATATTACAAACAATATAAAATTATAGGTTTTTAGTTGCTTCTCAATTTTCATTTTAATTCAAATTATATTTTATTGTTTTTTCAATGACATATAAATTTATTGTTTTCTTTTCCTTCAAATTACTGTTAGTTATTAAAATATCAATAATTGTTTGTACTGTTTAGTTGGTAGATTCGAACTTTATTTTTAATTATTTTTTAAATTCTTATTTGAATATTTAAAATTGTGTTTTAGGAATAATAATGGTGGGCAAATAGCATAAATGAAGAATACAATGTTTACCATTTTAAAAAGAAAAATGAAATGAAGGGTGTTTATGAGATTTTTGGGGTGTCATAAGAAAAAAAATTAATTTTAAAACTTTAAACTGAAGTGTCTTAAGAAGTGAGTTTTCTTAATTTCAAGAGAAGAGTCAATAGAAACACTCAAGTTATAATTCAACTGATAATGCCCAAAAGATAAATAACAAATTAAATGGACCATGGGCTCAATGTTGAACCAAAACCCAACCATTTTTTTTGCCTTATTTAATTAGAATTTTCTTTTTTGATTTGATTTGGTATCCGGTTTTGTACTTTTCTAATCCGATCATACAAAATCCAGAATGCAAAAAATAAAGGTGGTCTTGCTGCAAAAAACAAACCCAGTCAGGCAGTCAGCATCCAATAGTTTGAACTTAGAGAGAAAGAGATGAAATGAAAACATAGATTCCGGAGAAGAAGTGAAGAACAAAAAAAATTTGAAGCCTAATGACGCGATAAATCAACTAATCAATTTAGAAAATAACGAAACAATGAAAGCGTAATAAGCCATAAAGAAAAGTCACAAAAACAACACAACTATATAGCTGGTGCACAGCAATGGCCACAATAATATTTGATGGTTTTTCCACCATAGATGATTCCTTTTCAAGGACTTGTGCAGAAATAGATCCTGGTCTCGAGGAAAAAGGATCTTGTGGATCCGGAACCGAAAATTTCACTGGCAGTGGACTTTTAACTTGAGTAAGACCCCTAATTGCAGCTTCATATATCTATGACATGTGCAGAAGTCAGTCCCAATTCAGACACGAACAGAAAATGCAAGTACCAGCTTGTTAAACCCTATGTACCTTCTTTTCCAAGTTATAAACACCTTGATATCCTCTCACCTCAAATGGAACTAACAATTTCTAAATTTGATTGCATCAGAAACTCTTCATCAAAATCTTTTAGTAATTGTTGAATGGTAACTTACAGCAGGGTGAAAGTACTACCCTGAGGATTTTCACAAAGCTAGCAAAAATCTGTTCGTGCTTCTAGCCTCACCCAGTGGCGAAGCCAGGATTTTTGCCCGGGGGGGCCTCCACGGCTCCACCATTGTTTGCCAAACAACTAGTGAAAACTTTTAAAAAACCACCAAACCTTAAGCAAAAGAGTTTACAACAACCACAATCCACCAAAAATATTCCACACAAATTTAGAGGTCAATCACAACTCTAACACAAGTAAAATACATAAAAGTTTACAAAGAGATAGATTAAAATCACCAGAGAAGCAGTCAAACTTCATGTAGTATAACTCCAAATCTAGACGTTAATATCAAAACTCAACCGTCTAGATAAAAGATTCACACATCCTCTGCGTATTGACCAAAAAATCAAGTTAAAATGGTATACCTGAAGATTTAAATATATGAATATTGATTGTTTAAATATGAAAGCAAGTTAGAATGGTATACCTGAAGATCTTCAATTTAACACGATTTTCCGCTTGGATATATTCTGAAAGTATTCAATGATATCTTCGTTTTCAATTGTAGCAAAAACTTCCTTTTCAATGTAAACCACCAAGCAATTGTTCATCCAGTCGTCTCCCATTCGATTACACAAACTATTTTTCACAAGATTCATTGCAGAGAACACCCTTTCAACTGTTGCAGTGGCCACAGGCAAAACCAATGCTAATTTAATAAGCAAGAAAACTTTGTTGTAAGCAACATCCTTCTTAAACTCAACCATTTTTTTAGCAAGGTCGGCAATCCCTTTGACATGAGTGAAATTGGCATTGGTGCTAACATCCTCATAATAGTTTTCAAGGTGATCATCGAGCAACCAAATATCGTGTTGAGGAAAATCGGTAGGATAGAACTTTGCAAATTCAAGTAATCTATCTTTGTTAAATGCAACAAAAGAGTTACTTGGATCAAGAGATGACATACATTGAAGCAACCTCATATTTACTTCATCAAAACGATTATTGAGTTCTTCTTGAATGTTATCTAAAACTGTATACATCAATTCCACCTTAAAATGATGTTTATTCGTAATTGGCGCAATCCCCCGTTTTGTCCTCCCAAAGTTATCTTCCATATTCTCCAAGATTGGTATGTCATTATCTTTGCACATATCAGAAACTTCTTTTAACAACATGTTGAAGCAAGTGTCTTCATTTCTCATTTTATGCAAGCGACGCTTCGAAATTTGTACAAATTGTATGGCATTAAGAAGATCCTGATCTTTTCTTTGTAATGCTTGTGACAGTTCATTTGTGATTCCCAATACTCTTTTCATTAAGAATAACAAAAAGACGAATTCAAAATTCTCCATGATTCGTAATAAACTCCTTGCTTGACTTTTGTTTTGCCAATCGTCTCCTTCAATCTCAATCACCCTAAGCACATCAACAACAAAAGAAAATAAATTTATGACACTATGAATTGTCCCTATGTGTGAACCCTAACGTGTATCTCCTGGTCGTTTAATAGTGCATTTTTTATTCAAACCTCGTCCCATATGAAGATCACCATTAGAAATCAAAGGCTTCGTTTGGTTCACAATTGGGTATTTTTGGGAAAAGTTTTCTGAAAAAAGTTAAAAAAAAGTTGAATTAGGCAGGTATTACGATGTAGGATTTATAAATTAATAAAATACCCCCTATATTTGTTTATTTACAAAACACCCCCTATAATAAAATCTTAAAAGTTAACAAAAACACCCCCAACCTAATGTCAAATACGGACAGCCAGCCACCACCGCCGGAGGGTGGCCGGGTTCACCGTATTGGCGCATGACCGGCTGGATCTTGCCGGTCGTGCGCCGATATGGCCTTTGCCGGCCAGATCCACGGTGGATCTGGTCGACAAAGGCCAGATCTGGCCGTATTTTCTCGTCAACGACGACCAACAAACGGTCGTCGTTGATGGTCAACGACGACCGTTTGTTGGCCGTCGTTATAAACTGTTACGGCCAAAGATTTGGCCGTCAACGGCCAGATCTTTGGCCTTAGATCTGGCCTTTTCCGGCCAGATCTACCGTGGATCTGATCGGAAAAGGCTAGATCGGTGCACTACCGGCCAGATTCAGCCGGTAGTGCGCCATCCTTACAGATTCCGGCCATTTTTCGGCAGTGGTGGTCGGAATCTGGTAAATATGAATTACTGGGGTGTTTTTGTAATTTTTAAAAAAATATTTAGGGGTATTTAATTAAATTATCAAATTTAAGGGGTTTAAAAAAAGTTGAATAATATTGAGAGTAGTATTCCCAAAAATCAAAGTTTTTGGGTATTTTATTGTTTAACTTTTTTGGGAATACTAAAAGTAGTATTCTGAGAATTGAAACAAATGAAGCCAAAGATATCACATTTTCATATTGTTTATCACGTAGAAGATCTCTGCGCTTACAAGATGCCGCTATAGTGTTTGATAACATAGAAAGAGATTGAAAAAATTCACCCAATGCCGAATGGTTACTTACAACTTTGACCAGCGCCAGTTGGAGTTGATGAGAGAAACAATGAATGTAGAAAGCTGATTTATTTTCTCTCAATATCAAAGTCTTCAAACCATTGAGCTCACCTCTCATATTGCTTGCTCCATCGTAACCTTGCCCCCGTAAACTTGTCAAACTTAATCCATGCTTTACAAAAAAAACATCTATTGCAATTTTCAAAGACTTTGCAGAAGTATTCTTAACATGCATAACCCCGATAAAACGTTCAATAATACAACCTATTTTGTCCACATAGCGAAAAACAATAGCCATTTATTCTTTCACTACCACATCACGAGATTCATCAACTAGTAAAGAGAATGGTTGTTTATCTCTCATAATTTCTACAATAATTTTCTTGGTCATCAAATGAGCACAAACACTAGTTAATTCCCTTTGGATGTTGGGGGCCGTTATTTGATGGTTTTTTGCAACATTTTCCAGCATAACTTTTTCAATGTCGTCATTATGATTGGATAGAAACTTAAATAGTTCCACAAAGTTACCTTGATTTTCAGATTCAATCGACTCGTCATGACCACGAAATGCCAATCCTTGATGTAAAAGAGATCTAATGCAATCAATTGATGCATTCAAGCGAATGCGATAGTCCAATTTGGCCTTTTTCGACACGCAAGCAAGATTTACATCGATGTGTTGCCTTTGGTTTATCAAATCAACACACTTAGCATGACATTGGTTATGAGTACTAGAATGATCTCCAACATGTTTTTTCACTTTCGCTTTAGCTTTCCAATTATTAAATCCCTTACTCACAAAAACTTCACCACCTGCTTGGTCACCATAATCAGTTTTGAAAAGATAACAATTTAAACAAAAGATACAATCTTTTGCCACACTATATTCCATCCAACTTGGACCTTCTTTGTACCACTCTGGTGTAAACCTACGTTTTTTATCTCCGAAAAGAGTGAAAGGAAAGTTATGATCTTTAGGTTGGCAAGGACCTTTCAACAAGTATGCTCTTCGAACTTCCTCCTTTTGCTTGTCAGTATAACAAATCTCGTTAATTGGTATTCTCAATCCTAGATCAGTTTCAAGCTCATCTAAATTGAACATCCCGATCGAAGGTTGAGCTTCTTTTACTTGGTGTTGTTGTTGCTGATGTGGGGCTTCTTCTTCTAATGAGATTTGATTAACCTCAATATCAATAGAGTTTCCACCAACAGTTTTTGCTGGAATTTTCTTTAATCTCTTGAAATAATTGGATATCATAGCTATCAAATGAAAAAAAGATAATATGATACATGAAAAGAAAGACCGATGAAACTTTAATTAATAAAATTACAAGGACTGATTTATCACGTTTTTAGATGTAACAATTAGATCTAATTAAAATATTATTTTAGCAATTAATTAATCATTTTATTGTGTTAATTTTCTTATATTTAAAATCATCTTAGTGAAATTTAAAAACTTATATAATTTGCTAATCAATTTTTTGACTTATTTAAATTATTGGCATAGATCAACTAGATTTAATTTAATTACTATTAGAGCATACTTAGTCAACTAATCACATTCTAAAATAATAACAATATCATTATTAATATATTAATGATTGGTGCAAAATCAAGCCGTCCTCTAATTATATAAAAAATTAATTTTATAAATGTATTTGTGATATCTAAAGTCACAAATTAATATTCAACCAATTATAAAATCAAATAAACACAAAACAAACTTACAAGATTTATACTTTTTTTCATCAGAATAAAAAACCTCCATAAAAACAAATTTGATTTAACCCTAGAATAAACTAAATTAAAATAAGTAATATACATACCTAAAACTGATAAAGCAAAAAATAGTCTTCAAAAGTTATAACTTCAACCGAGTCAATAAGACAAAGAGAAAGGGAGGCGCACGCCCTAAATAAAATTAGGGATGCAAAAATTGTGATTTTATAGGGATTGGCCGCATATGACATATATATAATATATTTATACTAATAACTAGTGGGCCACGCAATATTTATGATGAGTGAGCCTCTGCATTGCGCCATTACCATATTAGCTTTTAGTTTGTTGTGGGTCCATATGTATTGTACCTTTTTGATATAAAAATCATTAATTATAAATATTGGCAAAAAAATTTCAAAATCTGAGGGTAGGCCCAGGCCTACTCTCAAGTATTCTGGATCTGCCCCTAGCCTCACCTACAATGGAAAAATGGTATCAATTAGTCAACATAGTCTGAAGATCGCAAGATGACATGAAGTTGATAAACTAGGTAACAAAATGATCAGGAAAGTGGGTAGCTCACCCTTTAGGTAACACTTCCCAGTTTGCTATTTCTTTGCACTTAATGCAAGCAACTACTTCAACACACCCTATATGATTTGTTGACCTCTCATATGTTTTGATGTGCCAAAACTATCCAAAAAGTTGATTGAACACCAACCATAACATGCTAATGTATGACTCAAGTCATAACCAAACCAAAATAGGTCTAACAGGTGGTTCAATTGTGCATAAGCAAATTTTAGCTTAGGTATGACAGTGTGTGATCAAGGCACGACCGTTCCTTAAGAGAAAGTTGTCATGCAATATTGCACGGTATCGTTCCTTTTGGTCGTTAGTCATTCTGCCAATTTGAGTGGCACTCGCACGACCAAACTACAGTCGCATGACCAGCCTGCATAATTGTGCGCTCAAGTTAAAGGGTCAAGATAAATCAAATTCAGAATTCTTCCCGCTCTTGACTTAATCTCAAAGGTCAAAGTCAAAACTCAAAGTTCAAAATATGAACGATCATTCCTTGGAATGCCCATTCATATCTAGAGGAGTTTTGCATGACATCGTTTCAAGAAGTGGTACAGGCTTTTGGAAAATCAAGAAGATTTGGAAGAGCATCTGGATGTGATTGTTCCGTGTGGTGGAATGATCGTGCAGTGGTCTTGCACGATCATACGACGTGGTGGAATGACCGTTCCAATTAACCTAGATCTGAAAAATATGACTATTGTGTTAGGAATGACTGTTCGCGATTATGGAACGACCGTTCCTCTAAGTTCTACAGCCTTTATTAGAACTACATTAAATACTGCAACAACTAATTCTTTTTGGGTTATAAAAGTTTGACGTTCCTAGGTTATTTACAAGAGAAGAGATCAACAAAAAATTCTAATATAATCACTAGAGCTCAAGATCCAAATCAAATATGTACTCTCACATGTACTCATTTTGTAAACCTTTGAGAGATCACTTGTTCTTATTGTGTGTATAAGCCTACTTTGTAGAGACAGTCAGTCACAAACAACTTTGAATCTTTCCTTATTGGCAAAATCCTATAAAATTAGGTGCAATCCTGTAAATCTATGTGTGCGAGGCAAAAATCCTTATGAAAACTATTGTATTGGTGAAATCCGATTATAGTGAAACTTCAAGGAGGTTGCCTTGAAGAAGTGGATGTAGGGGGGCTTGTGATATAGCTTCGAACCATTATAAATTGTTGAGCATTTCTCTCTCTCTTTCAACTCTTTATTATACATTGCATTGTTGTTGGTTGAACATCATTTATTGCAATCGTTCTTGCATTCATTATTCATATTTATTGTTTACAAGTTGAATGCATTTATTGCTCTCTTTAAAGCATATTGTTCATAATAATATCTTTATCATTCTTGAGTTGTTGACTTTAGTCATTAAACATTGTTTTAATAAACTCATCATTTGTCTTGATAAGTTTTATTGATTCCCATTCCACCCCCACCCCCCTCCGGCCAATAAATAAAAAAATTTAGACTTCAAAGAAAGAATAGGGTATTTAAAGAACTTATATAATTTCGTGCTAGCTAAATAGACAGTGAAGCAATGAAGAGTAATAACCACTTTGGACTATCTCTCACTTGAAATCGAAAAGACACTAAAATAATTGGATTGGCTACCTTAATTTTACTATTCTACTCACACCACACTCAATCCAAGTCTATCTCTTTCTTATGTTTATTTTCTGCGATTTCTACATCCATACACCTATCGGGGACTCAAACACAACACACAGAGTGATACAAAATCCGGAATGCAAAAAATAAAAAAGGTCCTGGTGGTCATGATTTGGCTGTCGATTGCCCAGATCATGTCGACGTGATGTGGCTAAGTGGCGGTCAGATCGTGGTCGCCCGATTTGGCCAACCACCAATTTTTTAATACATATTTCTTATGATTCATTTCTTCACTTTTGGGGTAATAGATCCTATAAATTTTAAGTTGTGTTTTGACATTTTGGAGAGTTTGAAAATGGTTAAATCTTTGATTTGGTAAGTTGTTAGAGATTTGGCTATTGGGAAAGAAAATTGTTTATGAAAGGGGGATTGGGATGGGGTATTTTTGTTGCAAAAAAATTGGTAAATTGGAGTCGGAATAGGAAGTGTAGGTGGAGGTGGAGGCTTTGGTGGTGGAGGCAAAGCCTTTGGTGGTGGTGGAGGAGGCGTTGAATGTTGTACAAGTATAGGTGGAGGCATTAGATTTGGGGGCAGTGTTGGTGGCAGGGTTGGAGGTGGTATTGTTAGTGGTGGTGGTAGTGGTGGTGGAGTAGAAGAAAGAAAATGTGGAGTTGGTGGTGGTTCTGACCACGATGGAGGCTTTGATGTTGGAAGAGGTATTGGCGATGGTGTTGAAAGAGGAAGTGATGGTGGTGGGGGTGGATTAGGTGTAGGATCTTTACATGGGGGTGGCTTTGGTGCTGGTGGGGGTGGGGGTGTAAAAGGTAGAGTTGGTGGATGTATAGATGGTGGAGGAGTAGCTAGAGGCAGGGGTGGATGAGGAATTGGTATGGGTTTAGGTCATGGTGGCAGGGTTTGGAGCTGGTGGAAGTGTAAATGCAGGTGGTTGTGTTGGAGGAGAAGTAGCAAGTGGTATTAGTGGAGGGTATGGAGTTGGTGGTGGAGGTGGAATTGGGATAGGCATTGGAGTGATTTACCATTGTATCATTCTTCAATTAAAGTTAATGGACAGATCTTAACAATGAGTGAGAAAATGTCGTTTTGAACTTTTTGGGTGGGTAAGTGTCGTTTGGCCAAACCTTGGGTGAAAAATTGTCGTTCTCCAAATTTAAACAAAAAAGGTAAGAGTAATGCATTGAAATTGTTTGGATTCCTCACCAAATTAGAATATAAAGTAAATAATAAAAAGCTGCTCAAGAGAAAGGAAATCTCAAAAGAGAAGAAATTGAATAATTCCTAAGTTTTATTCTCAATAAGAGTCACCCTTATATAAGGCTTGCTACTAACAATTAAGAAAGCTCAATAACTATTGAATAATTTGTAAACTTGTGTTTGTACATTAGAGTATCTCCAATTGTGCTCTTTATTATAAAGAGCATATTTCATATAAATAAAGAGAAACTTCATTAATTTCTAAATATAAAGAATAAATTTTTTATTCAAATCCAATGAGCTCTTTAAATTTAATGAAGATATTCTTTATTTAAAAAAAAAAAAAGACTTAATAGGAGAAAGAATTAATAAATAAAATATATAAAAACTTATAGTTTATTAATTAAAATTAGGATAGAGAGTGAAATTTGACTCTTAAGATGTGGAGAGTTAAACTCACTCTTTAATTTATATTTAAATAATAAAGAGTTTGTTAGAGCATCTCCAATGGTGCTTAGAGATGGGCACAAAGCCCAGCCCCGCTCCCGAACAGGAAGGATTTTCCCTAAATTTTTCGGGCTTGGGGCCAGGATCAGCCCCAAGATTGGCCCCCGGAATTCGGGGTCGGGATAGGTTTTGCCCCGGCCTGTATATTTTATTTATATATATATTAATTTTAATAATTGAAAATCAATCATATATACCTATAATAATTTTAATATTTGAAAATCAACCATGACAGATTTTAGATGGTATAAAGATATGTTTTTACAAAAAGTATTCACAAGAAGAGACTGTAGGAAACTCTATTGGAAAGAAAGGTTTCTAGATGGTCTACCTAGATTATTTAGTCAAACTGTCAAGAATGCATTATACAAAAAATATGATGGAAATATACCTTATGAAGACTTAACATATGGAGATTTAATTAGTTTTATTAATAACGAAGCTTTAATAATTTGCACTGATTTAAAATTAAAAGCTAAATTAAAAAATGAATTAAAACATAAGAAAACAGAATTAAGTGGATTTTGTAGTCAATATGGTTATGAAAAAATATTACCTCCCTCTATTAAGTACAAAAAAGATAAAAAACAAAAACAATATAGAAAACCTTATTACAAAAGAGATTATAAATACGAACAAAAATCTTATGATAAACCTTATAAAAAGAAAAGATCTTCTAACAAGAAAATATCCAAAAAACCTATCACATGTTGGAAATGTAAACAACAAGGTCATTATGCAACAAAGTGCCCTATGAAAAATCAAATTAAAAAATTAGAAATAGATTCAGAATTAAAACAACAATTATTAAAAATTATTCAAACAGACTCTGAAGAAGATTCTAGTTACAATACAGATAATGAAGATATGATATATCAAATTCAAGAAAATACTTCTGAATCAATGAGTGAGTCTTCACAAGACTCTGATGATTGTGATTGCATGGGGCCTTGCTACTGTGCAATGAAATCAATAAATATGATATCAAAATCTAAACCTAAGTCAATAAATGTTATCACCAAATCAAAAGAATTTTTATTAGATATTATTGACAAAATTCAGGATGAAGATATTAAAAGAGAATATTTATTAAAACTTAAAGAATTAATTTTATCTGAAGGAAAACAAAAAGATGTAGATTCTTACAATTTAAAAGACATATTCAAAAGATTTGATAAACCCACACAAGTTACTTTAAGTGATTTGCAAGAAGAAATCAATATTCTGAAAAATCAAGTTAAAGAATTACAAAACGATAATATTGAAATCAAGACAGATTTATTATGTTTAAAAGCCTCCAAAGAAACTATAGGACAACCATCAACCTCAAAATCAGAATTAAAAATCATAGAAGAAACTGAAGAAGCATTTATGAATGAAATCTCTCGAATTCAATTTCAAAAATGGCATGTTTACATTAGGATCAATATCAATCAAGAGTTAGATCTTATTACACAAGCTTTAGTAGATACAGGAGCAGATCAAAATTGCATAAGAGAAGGATTAATTCCAACAAAATATTATGAAAAAACAAAAGAAAAATTATATGGAGCTAATGGTCAACAATTAAACATTAATTATAAATTATCTAATGCACATGTATGTATACAAAATTTTTGTATTAAAAGTACCTTTATTCTAGCAAAAGATTTAGATCAAGATGTTATATTAGGTACCCCCTTTATTACTCAAATTTACCCTTTTAATGTAACCAATAAAGGAATTATAACCAATATTTTAGGACAAGATGTAATGTTTGAATTCGTAAATCCACCATTAATAAAAGATATTAGTAATTTAAAAAACGTTTCAATATCTAAGATAAATACCATTACTAAAGTAGAGAGTCTAGAAATTGTCCCTACAAAAGAATGGCTCGATTACCACAAAATTTTGGATGCTTGCATTACAAAAACTTGTTTTCAACTTTTTGCATTAAGACTTCAAAAGTTTCAAAATTACGTTTTCAATAAAATGCAAAAGTCAAAAAGTTTTTCTAATAGACTCTCTCATCACAACAACTTTCAGGACACAGAGTTTTTGAGAGAAAGTGAGGAAAATATGGGCACTCCCATCAAACCCAAAAACAATCCAAAATCAAAAGCATCGTATGCGATGCTACCACCTCAACAACCTATTACCCCACAAACAAAACCTTCACAATCAAAATCTTCAAAGCCCAATAAACAGAAAACCATTATCACCCAACCAAACTGGTTCACTCTTCTAGATGAACAATCTGTTTCTTCATCACCCCCAAAAGATCACCAACCACCAAAAAATTACCAACAAGCCCTTACGATACCACCATTTTATTCACCTTCTCCGTCAAAACCTACCAACATTAATCACACTTTTCAATACATTGAGAAAGATATATGTTAGAACACAAGCCTAATATTGATCTATTCACCAACACAAAACAATCACAGCAAGATTCAAGAATAAAACAGACACACAAACAAGACACGATTTACCGTGGTTGACTTATCCTTTTATGGATAAGCTACATCCACGTTGAGCTCAGGAATGGTATGAGCTCGCTGCACTTTCTATTATCAAGAATAATCAAGATTACGCAGATTCGACACTCACCAGATCTACACAAATACAAACTGCAATCAGCCTAACAAGATACCCTCTAAGTATCCCTAACTCGAGAGAACAACACTCTCACCCGAATGATTAATCTCCCTAACCACTTGAACTGATTACACCACAATCTGGAATAATAATCTCAACCCTAACTCAGAAAATGCAAACCCAGAAAACCCTAAGAAAATGTGTGTCTGTCTCTATTCTAAACGAAAGAGAGTTTATATATGGTTTGACTGAGTGACTGATTCTTGCCGTTAGATCTAGAGTGCATCCTGCGGTCTAAATTAGTCCCAGTTATTATGCCTAAAACGATGTCGTATTCCTTTACCCAAAATGACGCTGTTTCAGGCTTTCACATTAACAATCTCTACCTTGGAAGCACTGGAAACAGTCTCTTTGTGTAGCTTGCCTGGTACCATTCTATCATAGCTCTTTATCACTCCAGACTACTTGATATACAACAAGTTCAAGCAGTGCTTGAACTTGACTGGGGTGATAATCTTGGTGCCCATATCTGCTGGATTCTCTTTTATGGGTACTTTCTTAAGTTCAATGATTCCACTTGCAACTTGATCCCTCACGAAGTGATAGCGGACATCCACGTGTTTAGTTCTTTCGTGATACACTAGATTTTTGCTTAGGTGAATTGCACTCTGACTGTCTGAATACACTGTCACTTTTCCACCAATTAGGTTTACTTCTGTCAGAATTCCTTTTAGCCATAAGGCTTCTATAACTACATCAGTTACTGCAATGTACTCTGATTCTGTTGAAGACAGTGCTACAATGGGCTGCAACTGTGATTTCCAGCTTATACATTTTCCACCCAGTGCAAAGAAATATGTAGTAGTTGATTTCCTAGCATCCTTATCACCTGCAAAATCAACATCTACAAACCCAACCAGATCAAGTGTAGTATTTCTTTTACAGTATTCAAGCCCAACATAAACAGTACTGTTTATACATTTCAGCATCCATTTTAGAGCAGTCCAATGTTCCATACCAGGGTTGGACATATACCTGCTTAACATGGAAATGGCAAAGGCTAAGGCTGGCCTAGTACTAATCATGGCATACGTCAGTGACCCCACAACATTAGCATAAGGAACATACTCCATTTTCAACAGTTTTGACTCAGTTTTGGGACATTGGGACTTACTAAGTATAAACTGACTGGTTAAGGGCATTGAGACTAGTTTGGCACCAGCCATGCCAAACTTTGTGACTAGCTTCAGTAAGTAAGATTGTTGCTGCAGTCTAAGTTCACATCTCTTTCTATCCCTATTTATTTCCATGCCTAGAATTTTCTTTGCATTTCCTAGGTTTTTCATGCTGAATTAAGTATTTAGCCTCTTCTTCAATTCACTGATCTGGGTTTTTGACTTACTGATCAGCAGCATATCATCAAAATATAATAAAAGGTAGATAAGCAGATTATTGTCCATTTTAAAATAGAAGCAACTGTCATATTGACTTCTAGTGAATCCTATACCTATTATAAAGGTGTTAAACCTTTTGTACCATTGCCTAGGGGACTGTTTTAACCCATATAGAGACCTTTTT